TACCTGACTTCAAAACTATACTACAAGGTCAAGTAACCAAAACAGGTATGCCCTCATACCAAAAGCAGAGATATAGACCAATGGACCAGAACAGAGCCCTCAGAAAATAGAGTACCACCACATCTTACAGCCATCTGATTTTGACAACCTGACAAAAACAAGAAATGGGGAAAGGATTCCCTATTTAATAAAATGGTCGCTGGGAAAATTGGCTAGCCCATATAGGTAAAGCTGAAATGGAATCCTTTCATTACTTCCTTATACGAAATTATTTTCAAGATGATTAGAGACTTAAATGTTACACCTAAAACCATTAAAACACCTAGAAGAAAACCTAGGTAATATCATTCAGGGACATTACGGGCATGGGCAAGGACTTCATGTCTAAAACACCAAAAACAATGGCACAACAAAAGCCCAAATTGCCAAATGGGATTTAATTAAACCTAAGAGGCTTCTTGCTACAGGCAAAGGGAACTACCAACCAGACGTGAACAGGCATGTACAGATGAGAGAAAATGTTGCATCTACTTCATTATTCACAGTAACCTACAAAGAACCTCAAACAACTTTTATGGGGAAAAACAACCACTCAAAAAGTGGGCCAACGGATCATGGAACCAGACGCTTCTCAAAAGAAGACATTTATACAGCCCAACCAGAACAAGAACAAATGGCCTCATCATCACTTCCATCAGAGAATGCAATCAAAATCACAATGAGATACCATCTCCACACAAGTTAGAATGGCAATCATTAAAAAGTCCAGAAACAACAGGTTGCTGGAAGAGATGTGAGAAATAGGAACACTTTTTACACTGTTGTGGGACTGTAAACTAGTTCAACCATTTTAGAAAACAGTGTGGGCAATTCCTCAAGGATGTAAACTAGAAATACTAATTTGACCCAAGCCATCCCATTACTGGGGATATACCCAAAGGTTATAAATCATGCTGCTATAAAGAACACTGCACACGTATGTTTTATTGCGGCACTATTCACAATAGCAAGAGACTTGGAATCAACCAAATGTCCACCAGTGACAGACTGGATTAAAAAATGTGGCCACATATACACCATGGAATACTAGGCAAGCCCATAAAAAGGATGAGTTCCATGTCCTTTGTAGGGACATGGATGCAGCTGGAAACCATCATTCTCAGCAAACTATCACAAGAACAGAAAACCAAACACCGCATGTTCTCACTGATAGGTGGGAATTGAACAATCAGATCACTTGGACTCTGGAAGGGGAACATCACACACTGGGGCCTATTACGGGGAGGAGGGGAAAGGGGGGAGGGGTGGCATTGGGAGTTACACCTGATGTAAATGACGAGTTGATGGGTGCTGACGAATTGATGGGTGCAGCACACCAACATGCACAAGTATACATAAGTAACAAACCTGCATGTTGTGCACATGTACCCTAGAGCTTAAAGTATAATTTAAAAAAATAAATAAATAAAAATAAAAAATAAAAATAAAAAATATATGTAGACACGTATATATTTTAAATGATGTTTTAGATTTACTGATTTTTACATGAAATATAATTTAGGGGCTATCCAAACTTCCATGCTAATGTGGTTTAAGAGGAGAATATAGACTTGGAAGTCAGACAAATTCAGGATAAAATCCCAGCTCCATCACGTAGGAACATGAGATTTCCAAGTGATTGCCATGACTTCTGATTTCCTCACTTATTAAGTGAAAAATAGTAACTTCCTTCAGTGAACGTGGTGAAGATTCTGTATGATACATGCCATGTTTGTAGAGAACCTAGCATAGAGTCCTAGAAATGGTCTAGATTGTGCTAAATACTCCCAGGTAAGAATTCTTATTCCCATCTTTCCAATGAGACTGCTAAGAGACTAAGAAATTTAAGCACTTAACCAAAGTTGACATAGCTAATTCTAAATTCACTTTTTTGTTTTGTTTCCTACTAAGAGAAAAAACAAAACAAAACAAACAAACAAACAAAAACGCTGGCCAGGCACGGTGGCTCAGGCCTGTAATCCCAGCACTGTGGGAGCCCGACGTGAGCAGATCATGAGGTCAAGAGATCGAGATCATCCTGGCCAACATGGTGAAACCCCGTCTCTACTAAAAATAAAAAAAATTGGCTGGGTGTGGTGGTGTGGAGGCTCCACTCTGGAGGCTAAGGCAGGAGAATCACTTGAATCCAGGAGGCGGAGGTTGCAGTGAGCTGAGATTGAGCCACTGCACTCCATGCATTTTAAAGATGGCAAGACTCCATCTTAAAAAAAAAAAAAAAAAATGCTGCCTCTTCAGACTTGGAGTAAATTTGTGAATACTGGGCTAACCCACATCCCTGAGATTTGGATTCTGTATGTTTTTGTCAGGACCTCAACCTTTGTCAACTTGGATAAATAAGAAACTGACCCAGAGTGTCAGCAGACAGTACCTGTGAGGATTTCAGCTACACGTTCTGTCATTTTCTGAATCACGAGTCTCAGGATTCCACTCTCCAGGCTCAGCAGCAGGGTCCCCGAGCCTTCAGACAGCTCTGTGGACAGAAGCAGACCATCCTTGTTCCATGTTCGAAACTGGAAACTCACTGAGAGCCCATCAATTTGGGGGGTGCCGGGCAGCAGCAAATAGCTGCCGCTGGAGTTGATAAATGTGATGGGCACAATCTGTGGTTCGGAGCAGGAAAAAGTGACATTGCCCTGGAAAACAATAAAAGTCAAACATATAAAAGCCATTTTTTATTCTGCAATCTGACAGCTGATATAAACGACCACCTGGGAGCGGACCTTAATTTCAGGATCATTTCACATTCAGCAGCAACATCTTAAAGAAGAAAAAAATGTCGGCTTTGTTCAGACACACGCACAAGATTATTTTCCATTCATGTGTTAAGGATCACAATGCTATCTGCAAAGAGGGCCATCCGAGAGTCCCAGAAGGAAGGCGGATGGAAGCATCCACACATTCTAAGGGTTGTAAAAATAATTACATTTACTCATTATATAAATACCTATGGCAAGTCAACTATGTGCCAAGCTCACAATGTGGACACCAGCTCCCACGGGAGCCTGGCAGGAGAAATAACTGGACAAGCGAAGGTTATGCGAGGGAAAGCAAAACAAAGGAAGGAATTAGGAAAGGGGTGGAGTACTTTGACTAGCCTTTTCAGCCAAGGGCACTGTTTGTGCAGAGGCTTGAAGAAATTAGCAAAACAGCATCCCTAAGGAATTCCCGGGAACCTGCCATTTCTAAGTAGTTAGTGGGACAGGAAGGTCCAAGTAGCCTAAAGGAGGTAAGTCTGGAAAGGTTAGTAGAGGCAGAGCTGGAAAGTCGTCTGCTGCTTCCTGAATAGTTTTCGTTCAAACTCAGAAACAGTGCAGTGACATGGGCCAAATATTTAACTTAGTAAAAGTATTTTCAATAACATAGATGAGGAGTGGATGAGAAGACTGGTCTCGGGGAATATTAAGTGTGTATTGAACCCAAAAGAAGAGTAAGAAGATTATTCTTTGCATAGCAAAAAAAGGTAAAGATGCCCCAAGAGGAACGCCCTAACCTGAATGGCTACCTGAATTTAACTTTCCACCGCGGTGGCCAGGTGGCAGAGTTAGATACGTAGTGTGGTTCTCAGTCCTGGAGCAGGGGTAATGGTTCAATTCCAAAATCCTCTACCCAGAAAAACATCTGTAGGTCCCAACCATGTTTATTTATGATAGTCTCGTATTCTTGAAAATGAGTAACAGTCCCCAAACAAACTTCTACCAGTAGCACATTTCTAATGATTCATCCATCAATCACAGTGCTATGAGCATATTATTGCATGAATCATTTGTTGTAGTTGTTTAGATGTTTTCTTCCCTTTAGGCTAGATCCTCACAAGTTAATTAATGTGCCAAAGGGTAAGGCCCTTGATATCCATCAAGCAATCACCCACAGTATATATCACTCCACTGTGCCAGGCAATAGGATAGGCACTTTCATACATATCTTGTGAATTCTGCGCAACAATGCCATAATGGATTATTTTCTTCATTTAAAGGATGCACAAACCAGACTTAGAATAAATAACTTAGCAAAAGTCACGTGCCTAGTTAGCAGGGAACATGGAAGACAAACCCTTGTTTGTCTGACTTGGAGGCTTTTGCTTTTAGCCACCATCTCTGATACCTCCATCCTCTGCACTGAGTGCCACCATTAAAAAAAATCCACCAACTTGCTCTTGGTATCTCACAGTTGTTTTAATTTGCATTTTTGGATCTCTGGTAAATTCACTTTCAAGAATAAAAACATCATCAATGATGGCCAACTCATCGTGGCAGGGCTGTCTTTTGGAAGAAGCCAAATCACACATGCTCTGCAGAGAAGCTAGGAAGTAGTAATAACTTTTATTTATCTTTTTCTTTCCTAAGGTCAGTATCATTTTTGTAAAAACAAATCTGCCAGAGCATAGCTGCATTCAAAGTCTGAGGTTGTGTAGAGTGGGAATGTTCACAAAGATGAAGAAGGCAAAGGCATAGGAGGTTGCGAAAGTATCCCCTTCCCCCGAGTTATCTAACACCCAGTTTAGCTTCCCCCAAACCCTCTTCTGAGTGTTCTCTGGATCAAAGCCATGGAAGGCGGCTTCAGGACAGTGGGGTGCTAGAGGACCTGAGATTCTTTCCTTATTTGATCAATTTGCTCACATTTGAGCAGAGGTCTGGCTCTCTTTCTTCAGTCTCCCTTCATTTCATTGTTTAATTGGCCCAACTTCTTGCGCACAATTCAGGGTTGCTCAGAATCTAAGGAGTTCCTGGATTGGTCCACCAGAGCAAGGGCTTTAAATAAACACCTTCAGAGATTGTCACTGTTAAGATAAGGTTGTGAGTGGGGATGCACACCTAGCTCAACAGAGAGCAGGAAAACTTTGAAATGCACTGGGATATGCTTTCTGTCCTTGGACAGTTTCCTCACTCATCTTAGGCCAGCTTCTCTCTCCCTTCCCCCGATTCCCTTCACACTTTCCTCTATCATTCTTGCCCCTATGCAGCCACTCCAGCTGTCTAAAACTTCTTGGTCTTTAGCGCGTGCCTCTACTATATTCTCCAAGGGCAAATCCAAAGGCAAGTAGAAGAGAAAAGATGTGGGTGGATGGGAAATTCCTTCTACACAGAATCTGACCCAGCTCTCTGGGCGCACGTGAATGTTTGCTGTTCAGCTTCCTGTCACACAGCTGCTGTGTGACACTTTTCCGACAGTCCTGTCTCAGCTGTGCTTACTGCTGGCAGAAATGACGTACGGTATTGAGGGCCATTGGTGCCACCTCCATTCACCAAAGTGAGGCGAAAAAAGAAAAACGAGCTGCGTGTAAAAATGCTACTTTTGAAATCAACATGGACTGACCATTTTCAATAGTGCCATTTGTGTCTCCAGAATCTGTCTCAAGACGGCATTTGAGGAAGTTCCCGCTGGCCATTTAGAAAAGCCATGAGAGAAGACATTACTTTAGAATTGTGTCAAAGGAAACATGGCAAATGGTCAGTGGCCTATATTCTACCCTATATACCTTTTAATCCCTTTCTTCAAACATCATTCCTCCTAATCCCAAGAAGGGCGCTTCATTCCCCAAAACCCCTTTGTCCCTCTGTATGTTTAATTCCATTTAAGGTTTCAACATTCATTCAAGATTTTTCAAATATTATAAAATTGTGCTAAGCACAAGTTAGTTGTACACATAAATGTGACCTGATCCTTTGCATGCTATAGTAATTCAATTCACTTTATATACTTACTCTAGTTTACTGTAATTGGTACAAAGTATGTCTGGCAGGGAAGGGTGCATTGATCAAACCTTCAAGGTAAAACCACTGGCTTTGACCTCATAAGTGAGACTGAAAGGAGGTCAGTGAGCTACCATGGGTCCTTTTTCCCTCCCTATATTTTATAAGAACTATAGGGTCTTTCATTGTCCAGAAAGGAAGTCACTCTTTAAGGAAGGAATGAAATTCTTGCTGTCTGAGTGCTTTTCCTTACCACACTCCTCAAGCTCCAGTTGAACCGTGGACTCCTCTGTCTGACTGTGACTGCCATTCAAGATGATAATGAGACCTCCCCAGGGCAGCAATTGCCACAAGTCACTGGTTCCTCCAAGTGTGGGTCTCCTGTTGTTCCTAAGATGGTAATTCTTAGTGCCCTATAGTTTCACTCTCATATGTGCCCCTTCTCCAACAATCAAGGTGTTCAGAAGTGCTGGGCCAAAGATGGAGTAGATGTTTGCCCCTGGGGTTCCCCAAACTACGTCTTTTTTTTTTTCTGACAAAAGACTCTTTCCTTGAGCTAACTCTAGTCAGGCTCCTCTGAGTCCTCCTTTGGACTAGGTGTGACGTTGGGCTCTGTCCATGGCCCATTTTTTTCCAGTTTTAGCAAGAATTCTGCAGAGTCAGAATACAAAACCTCCCACCTTGGTCTGACCTCCTTGGATATATTATCACACTTGCCTGCCTTCAACAAAGCTCCTGTTGGGCTAGTTTAGAAAGAAGTACCCCACCTCTAAGTAATTGTCCATTCCCTGACCCCCACCCTACTCCGTGGCTATAAATCCCCACTTTTCTTTATTGTGCTCAGTCTTTGCTCCCACTATAAAACCCCATTTAGTAGCCCCCCTTATCATCTTTAACAATTGTAATGAATATTTTTTTCCAACACTTCTCTACAGACCCACTACAGTCTTTTCTTGGTCAGCTCTGCTGTGCCATGCGGTGCCCGGATTAAACATTATTTCTGGGTGTGTCCCTGTGTGTTTCTGGATGAGATTAGTATTAAAATTGGTGGACTTGGCAAAGTACAGTGCGCTCCCCACTGTGGATGTGTATCATCTACTCCGCTGAGGGCACAGAGCAAAATGCAAAGGAAGGAGGAATTTGTACCTTTTTGTTTCCTTCCTCCCTACTTGATCGAGAAATTTCATCTCGTCTTCTCCAGTCCTCCGGCTGGGATTTACACCTTCTGGTACTCAGGCCTTCAAACACAGACCAGCACTGACTTTCCTAGGTCTGTAAATCATTGGTCTTCCCAGACTCTGTAGTGCAGTGAGCCAATTTTTCATTATAAATCTCAATCTCTCTTTCAAATCTATTTCTCTTTCTTATCTGCATTCCACATATACAGAGATCCTGGCCCTACTTTTCTGGAGAACCCTGATTCATACCAATAGCCATGCAGGAGAGTGAGGAAAGATAACAGATCCATGAGAAATTTGCAGGTACAACTGATAGAAGGTGCTGACTGGGGAAGGGGCTGGAGGGGCAGGCATGGTTCCCATTCTTCCCTGACAGCACAATGGATTTCAAACAGGAAAGCACAGATGGCTGCTGACTACTGATAGACCATCACCTCCCTTGGATTGTGTCCCCGGTCATCGGCACTACCCTCACTAGAGTGAGGAGATACACTAACAGCAAAGCTGTCCTCTAGACACACGCTGTGCCTTCCTCCCTCCACCAGGCATGACCTCTTCATTCCTCTGCACCCTCCACCCCCACTTTTGCCCTGCAGGGCCCAGTAAGCCTTCTGGACTTGCCCATGCCCAGTCCTTTCCTGACATCCATCTCACAGTGGCTGCCTTCTCCACGGGCTTCCGGTGGTGTGTGCTACCTGTGGAAATCTATTATATTTCTTATACTGCCTTGTAATAATTAGCTACTTTTTGATAACTGCCCATGCC